GAAAAATTGAATTATACATACTTGTACCAACTTTAGTTAGCAAATAATAAAGTTAAACAAAGGAGTAGTATCGAGCTAGTATTAAAAATCCTTTACTAACCTCCAAGGAGGAAAGGAAATATTGAAGACCTTCAAGAAAAATTCGTAAAAAAAAAAAAATCGACGACTTTATATTAGGTAAATCACTTTTTAAATTTAACGGATGATTTGACCTTCATCTGAAACAAACTATTATTCGATCCGTCATATGAATTTTATCCGATCGCTCAAATTTATCTGACAGATGACGGATATCCAAATTTAAAACGGATAATCAGTTGACAGATTGTAATTCTAAGTGATTCTATGACATTCATTGAAGAAAAGAGGAGTAGTCTGTAATCGATATTCTAGTAATGGAAAGAGTACCATATTGAGGATATAAATGAGTTGTTTGTCGGTAAGTGGTTTTGAATATTTTTCGTATTATTATTTTCTAGGACAAGACTAGAAAATTCTTCATCACTATTATTATTGATTTTCACTTTTCATAACTATAAGTTACCAGCTACAATTTCGAGAAAACAATCATTTATCTCCTTGACTTTCTCATAAATTTTCTTTTTAAAATCATCAATATTATCTATAATGCGGATATCGACAGTAAATTCTTTAGAATTTTTTTCTATATTCTTATAGAGCCGGTAAGTGAGGGTAATCTGAGTATCCTTTACCATAACTTCATAACTATTACCCATGATTAATAAAGGTAACGTACTTATATTTTAATTTTAAAAGCACCCCTTTTCTACAATAAACCTGTTATATGCTAATCATCACAAGATTAAACAAGTCGATTATATACAAAAATAATCAATTATAAATTACCTTGCTAATCCTTACCCCTTCTGAAAATCCGCGAATATAAAAAATTACAATAATTATCATTTTTAAGAAATTGTATATTTATTTATTTTATATATTTATATAAATAAACATTTGTAGAATTTTTCAGTTATTAATATTTTATATATTTTACATAAATAAGCATTTGTAGAATCTTCTGATTCTTAATAATGATAATATTTTTTTGATAATTTGAAATAGCGCATTTATTTGTTTACATAAAAATTCAATTTTTTTATAAAATAAAAATCTTTGCAAAATTTGCCATGATAATAATTGCGATTATTTTGCTTGTAAATCTATTAGTAATAGTAATATTAATTAGAAAAAAAAAGAAATAAATAATTTATTTTAAAAAATTAAAAAGTTCTTACAAATAAAATTTTTTAGTTATATATGTATTGTGTTCATTCAAATAATATAGCATCCTCAGATTCGTAATGATTTTCTTCTGAAATCTTCTCTTCGACAGTGCTATTATAATCATTTGATCTATCATCGTCTTTTAAATCGTCATCTTCAGTTGGAATTTGTTGTGATTTTAATCGTTCCTATTAATAAAATAATAAATCGAACTTGATTAGAGACCACCAAATATTAATACAAAATTTAATTCTTACCAAGAAAATTAAACATCGTTTTCTTATAGCTTCTTCAGTACATCAAATATCTTTGCTATGTGGATTTAAGACAATATTACAATTTGCAAGTGTAAATGCAATTATTGAAGGCTTCAAACAGACTTCTTTATCTTCTCTAGGCATAGCCTTCATGATAATTGTATTGATCGTTGGAAGTCCAGTGTCATCTACTTTTCACAAACTGGTATATGTTTTGGCAACCTATAGATTTCTCTTCCATTCAATAATTTTTATACCTGTATTTGCTTTTATTTTAGGAACTTCAGGAAATACCTTGAAAAGTGCCAGTTGTATATCTTTGGCAATGGCACTTCGACGATGACACATTTTTTCAAGACACTAATATGAAACCTAAGTAAAAAACACAATAAATAATAAAAATTTGTAAGAATAATATAATAAATGATATCATGAAACAATACTTACAATAGTCATAAATTCTGAATAAAAACGAGAATCCCAACGATGTTTTCCAATATCTTTAATATATCCCTTAGAATGCTTTTCAACGTAACTTTCAAGATGTTCTTTAAATAGCTCTATAGTAGGGTGTAAAGTTATCTTTTATATATCTTTAGTAATCGCGACGATACCTTTCTATTAAATTAAAAGTTTTATAAAATGAAATAAAGTTAAAATTTAAAAAGAATTATCATAAGGCACAGTATTATACCTGTTAAAGAAAAATTCATATGATTTTTTCTTTGTCAATTAGCAAATTAAAAAATCTTTATTTATTGCTTACATCAAAAAAAGTGGATGACAAGCCATCTTCGCATTGTAGTTTTGATAAAATCTTCATAATTTCGTCAAGCTTTTTATCTTGTTTCAGTTGATTCTTTCAGATAACTTTATTTTATCCGTTTAATTTTTCTAAAAATTCCACAGGAACTATATAACGTTCATTACAATTTCCTAAATTGAGAAATAAAATAAAAAATAAAAATTAGAAAATTAAAATCCTTGGAATGCATATAGGTCAGATTTTAAAAATAGTATAATGTATCAACTACAATTTTCTTGTTTGTTTGCATTGGTATAATATCATCCATATCATGTTCGCATTTTCTTAAAGTTTCCAAATCAGAAGATAAGTGATCTAGTTCATCATACTCTATTTCAATGTCTTTAAAATTGTTAAAATCATCATTTTCATTTATAGGTTGAGGTTGGTCATATAGTTTCAGAGAATAATCATCATCATCTCTTTCTTTATCGAGATCTCTGTCATCTCGTTCATTTTGATATTCACTTAGATTGATTTCTGGACTTTTCATTTTACGATTTTAACGTATTTGATTGGAATCAGTTGATTACGATCTTTTAAAAAACCTGTAAACAACATCGAAACAATTTTGTAAGTAATAAGAAAAATAAGATACAAAGAATACATCGCGAAAATTTTTTAGGTGCAGATCTGTGCAGACCTGCAGCCATTTTTTTCTGCGGCTGTCGATATAGGTTCACAGATCTGTGTGGGAAAAAAAAATAAAAATCTGCGCAGATTTTTATTTTTTTTTCCTGCGTAGACTTACAACTTTAAAGTTCTGTGCAGGTTTAAAGTTCTACACAGATTTTTATAAATTTAAAATATTCGAGAAAAATTAAAATAATTTGTCACTGAAATTACTCAAATAAAATTTATTATTATAGTCATCATAATATCCAATAAATGTAAAAATACTAAATCTTCGAAAAATAAATTGTAAAAAAGTTAAATCCTCGAAAATAAGCAAATATTATTTAATAATAAAAAAAAATTGAAATATTTCGATAACGCGTCTTTACAATTTATTAAAAAATTGTGCATCTATGTCATTAATCTGAAAGAGATGAAATTAATTTAGCAAATGCAAAGTCAAACGTAGGTAGTAGTCAACTCTTTAGTTACTTACAAAATTATCATAGTCGTCATCATCGGCTATAGTTTTATCTTCCATTGGTAAATCACTTTGTTCACTTTGCTTTTAGTACAGTTTAACTCCTCTGCTTCACTCTCTGCAATTTTCTGCATCATTTCAGACATAACAGGTTGTTTGCTTTCGAATGCACGCTATTAATTAATTATACATATAAAGGTCATTGAATATCTGTAATTGAAAATATTTAAAAAGTTGCTTTGAATTTCGAAGATTTGTAAAACATTATTTACCAAAAAAACATTTATTCTTCTTGTGATGGACTTGTCATTACATTTGATACCAGAGCTCTTAGGGTTCAGAAGAATATTGCAGATTGATAGAACAAAAGCGCAGTATATGGTAGGGAGCTCTTTACCTTTATATTGTTTAAAGACCGCATACTCAATTTTTGTTAAGAGATCGTGATTCGAAAAAAGTTCTTCGTATGCGTCCTGCATTTTTTGATCTTGTTTCCACTTTGCTAACTTCGCAGAAGGTGTATTATTATCTACACATTCCAATTGTTGTTCTCTGAAGATGGAAAACATAGCGTTTTGAATATTTGCAGCAAAATCATTTCTCTTACTTCGACATTTGTTTTTGATCTAAAAAAAAAAATCAGCACCTTTTTTAATTATTAAAGATTAGTCCAACATTTCGCTTACTTCTGGTAATAATTTTACTTCAAACATTGATAGTCAGTTATTATTTTCAATGCTTTCGATGTACTTTGATGCATGACTTTCAAGATACTTTTCTAAAACTTCACAATATTCTTCAGTTGACAGAAAAAGTACATTTGGTAAAAGTTCCCTTGATATGGCTTTATAAGCTTGCTGCAAAGACAATCAGTAATTTAATTATCTTAATATCAAAATAAAAATATTAAATATATTAATATACTTACATTTCAGAAATTGTCAGAGAGTTCGTTGACTGCGACTAGTTTTTGCAATGATAAATTATTCTTCTGCTGTTGGTCATTAATATATCTATAGAGTTTATAAAGAGCGTTTATTTTGTCATCTAGTAAAGAAATCACATATGTAAAATCTTTTTTTGTCAAGGTTTCGTTTGAACCGAAATCAGATCTAGTTGAAGGTTTTGGTAAGGGCGATTTCAAATAATCAAAGTAATCATCCTCATTTTCTTCACGTTCCAAATCAATTTGCATTGGATGAGGAGGAGTCCTTGAAGTCGAAGAACTTCTTGAGGGATCTCTTGAAGGATTCCTTGAAGAATTTCTCAATGGAGTTTTTGAAGGATTTCTTGATTGATTTTTTGATGGAGTTCTCGAAGGATTTCTTGATGAAGTTCTCAAAGTTGAAGATTTTTCAGGTAATTTGAATCTATCACGATTAGGTAATGATGCTGGTGTTGGTGATTTTAAAGATGAAGCTTTAGATGGAGACGATGTTTTTTTTTAGAAATAAGAATCAAAAGTTAGTTGCGAAATTAATAAATTCATATAAAATATCAGATTCTTTGGTTAATTACTATCAATAGCATTTGAGAGAACTTGCTGACGGTGCCTTGAGCTGCCTTTTTTATAATTGTTCAGTTCCAAGAGACGTAGTTTCACTACGATCTTCAAAGAAGTCACGTGACGCTCTTTTTTTTGTATTTTGGGTTACTCTTTTTGATATATTGAAATAAACTTGAATACGAAGGATTAATTTGAATTTTGAGAATTTGTAAAGGGAATTTTTAAAAAATTTAAACGATAATGAACTGAAATGAAAAGTGGGGAAATCAGTGGTTTAAATATTTGAAAACTGCAAAATGAATGTGAAAATATGTGAAATGAACAATTATACT